GTATATTTTATATTTGTAATATATAATATATATTTTATACATGCAACATATAATTTAAACTTTTTAATATGCAATATATAATATAAATAAATACTACACATATTTTTGAGCAGAGTTAATCAAAAGGAAAGGGAATAATCAGGGTTGGAGTGTGGGGGTGTTATCTCATGATGATGATCAAAAAGCTCTACTGTCCCAGAAATTGGCGCCATAGTGCGACCCGCCGGCTGATGCTGACTGGCTCAGAATCACAAAGAGCGGCGGGACAAGCAATGTTAGTTTCTGATTGGCTGGAATGGCTGTCTGTCAACTTCCAGAGGCAGGGTCTGAGGAGGCACGCTTCACCGATTGGCTGTAACGCAGGCGCGCCAGCTGCTGATTGACTCTGGTTTGGACGCTCGTCTCCGCACGTTGCTGGCAGAAAACAGCGGACCTGCTACGGTGCAGCTCCGCCCGCGGTCCCTAGACGGCCCGGTCGCCGTGGTCTCTGGGCCCCTGGGCCCCCTGTGTGGAGCCTCCGTGGGAACGCGGCTTCCGGGAACCGGGCCGCCTCAAGGAAGCGCCTCAGACGCTGCCGGGGTCACCGCGAGGCCGCCGGGTGGGTTACGCCGCCGCGCTGCCCATGCCGCCAGCGCCCGGTAGCTGAGGCCAATGGTGGACGGTGGACCAGACACTAGAGGGGGCAGGAGCCTGTCTGCGGTGGTCAGCCTGTCAGCACTTGGTCAGTGAGGTTGTCCTTTCAGCTGTCCATCCTGTCCCCCTCAGTCACCTGTCCATCCTGTCCTCCTCAGTCACCTGTCCATCCTGTCCCCCTCAGTCACTTGTCCATCCTGTCAGGCTCAGTCACCTGTCCATCCTGTCCCCCTCAGTCACCTGTCCATCCTGTCCCCCTCAGTCACCTGTCCATCCTGTCAGCCTCAGTCACCTGTCCATCTGTCCCCCACAGTCACCTGTCCATCCTGTCCCCTCAGTCACCTGTCCATCCTGTCAGCCTTAGTCATCTGGTAAACCTGTCACCCTCAGCCACCTGTTCATCCTCTCACCCCACAGTCACCTGATCATGTTTGTCACCCCTCACTTACTTCTTCAGTCTGCAACCCAGTCAGCCTGAAAGGAAGCTGGTGGATCTCTGTTATACTAGCAGGACAAGCAGGAGGTGTGGAGGTTAACAGTCAGGTTAGTGTCATTATGAGTTAACCCCTAGTTCCTTTGTTAATCAGCTACCCCAAGATTCTGTCACTTTCATGATGGAGGTTTAATCCATTAACAAGCCCACCCAGTCTCTTAGTAAGTTGTTCTCAACTTAACGCACTTAGTCATTACTCATATAGTATTCATGTTTAAGGTAGTTACTCAGCTTCATGGTTAGTTGTAGGTTTCTTTAGAAAATTGATTTTTATTAAGATACTATTTATGTTACTAATAATATATTTTACTTGTCTGTTAGCGTAAAAAGTCCGTCCTTCCTTAGTCGGGAAGGGCATTTTTGCCACTTAGCCTCTGCTGAAGAAATACACACAGATGGCAGCAGGGGTGACACAGGCCTGTAATGTCAGCATGGAGGGGGTTCCTAGCTCTCCTGCTGCTGTGACAGCTCTGTCCAAAAGCAGCTTGGGAGAGGGAAGGGTTTCTTCCACCTTACACTTCCAGTCACGAATCATCCTTGGAGAAGTCCGGGCAGGGCCGGAAGCCAGAACTGTGGAGGCACGCAGCACTCTGGCTTGCGCTCATGCTTAGGTAGCTTATGAAGCCCACCTGCCTGGGGATGGGGTCGCCCATGGTTGACAAAAAGAAACGAAAAAGTGACAGACGGAAAGAAGAGCAGTTTAGTGTGAAGTAAAGAGGCCCTTTTGGCTTGGGTCCCGGGCAGCGTCCTCTTGCCATGAGGGGGAGGCACAGTCATCGTTCTGTGGGCTGTTTGGTTTTATTCTTCTGATAGGCTGCATTTTCATTTCATTAGCATATGTTAATTGTACAAGTTCCTTTGAGACATTTACATACTTACTTTGACCATGTTTACCCCTCTCCTATCTCCTGTACCCCCTTTAATATCCCTGATAGGGTCTATCTCTCTCCTTCTCTCTACCTCCCCCCCTTCTTTCCACTGTTCCTCTCTTTGTCTCCATTCCGCACATGAGAGACATGTGTGATGCTTAGCTTTCTGAGTCTGGCTTATCTTGCTTAACATGATCTCCAGTTCCATGTGTTTTCCTACAAATAACATGTCATTGTTCATAGTACTCCCTTGCGTATACATTTCCTTACTCATCCTTTGATGGGCACCTCGGCAGGTTCTGTAACGTGGCATTGCACCTTGGGCAGTGATAAACAAGGTCCTTGCAGGGGTGGTCTCTATAGTAAGCTGTATTGCTAAAATTCCTTCTGAGGGGGAGATGTAAACAAAATCCACCCCTCCTCCCGAGGACCATTTGAGGTTTGATTTTACCAAAGTGCATTCTGGGGAACCAATGCATTTATTGAGCTTACTTACAGAGCAATGGGTGGGGGTTACTTACAGGAGTGTGGTGCTCGCCCCCAAGGCCACACTGGAAAATCCTCATCCAACGTGGATGATGGCTTGCTCCTAGCTACATAAATGGAGCCCCCCCCACTCGTGCAGGGGCCGCAGCAGTCTGTCTCTGTCTGACTCAGAGGATGGTCCTGTACAGCAGCTGATTAGGGTTTTTGCATGTTATATCCAAAAGTGGTACTTGTGTTTTTATTTTTAGATTTGAGGAACCTCTGTATGTTTTCCCATGGAGGCAGAACTAATTTACATTCCCAGTGAGAGTGCACCTGGGTTCCTTTTCACACATCTCAGCAGTGTTTGGGTGTTGGTTTTTTGATGGGGTGAGACGAAATCTTGCGTAGTTTTGATTTACACCTTTCTCTGATGGTTGAAGATGTTGAACATTTTAGGCACCAGTACGTCTTCATTTGGAAAGTGTCTGTTCAGTTCTTTTGACACATGGAAGTTAGAAATTAGGAACAGAGTCTGCTCAGAGGGGTCCTGCAGAGAGACTATGGAGTAGGCTGGCCAGAGGGTTCCTGCAGTGAAAATATGGAGTAGGCTGGCAAGATGGCTCAGCAGCTAAAGGCCCTTGTCACTGAGACCAGTGACCTGAGTTCAGTCCCCAGGCCCCATGTGGTGGGAGGAGAGAACCCTCCCCTAAAAGTTGTCCTGTGACCTCCACACACACTGGGGCGTGCTCTCTCTCTCTCTCTCTCTCTCTCTCTCTCTCTCTCAATAATAAATAAGTAAATAAATAAATAAATTTTAAAAAGTATGGACTAGGAAAATGGAGGGGTGGCCTTGAACACTGGGAAGGGATGAGATGTGATGTAGAATGCATCCAAACCAAATGCTGACCAGCCAGGCAGGTCATTTATTAAATAGTAATTAAGTGTAGTGTCTCCTGTCTGTAATTCCAGCATTTGGGGAACAGAGGTAGGAGGATTATTGCAAGTTTGAGTGTAGCCTGGGTCAACCAGGGCTACATGGCATGACCTCCCCACTCCCCACAAAAAGAAAGAAGGTGAGAGGGAGTAGTGAATATTTGTGGAGTGCTTGCATGTGTAAGGTTCTGTTCTGTTGATTTTATTTTATTTTTTCTTATGTGTGTGAGTGTATTGCCTGCATGTGTGTAAGTGCCCCTGTGTTGTGCAGTGCCTGCAGCGGCCAAAAGAAGGCATCAGATCACCTGGAACTAGAGTTACAGATGGTTGTTAGCCATCATGTGGGTGGGTGCTGGGAACCAATTGTGGGTCCTCTGCAGGAGCAGCCAGTGCTCTTAACCGCTGAGCCATCTCTCCAGCCCCTATTGATTGATTTTATATTAACAACTATATGAGACAGTTGCTGTTATTAAACAAGTTCCAAATATGTGGAAAACAGTCTAGGGAGACAGGTTGCTTGAAATGAAAGGAAACAAAGAACCCGGGTGTTTGAATTTTTCACATAGTGCTGTGGTTTTTAAATTCCCACAAGAAGGTCAACTTTAAAACTAAGCATTTAGTAAGCCAAGCGAAACCCATTTATGGTCAAGTTCAGTGTGGGCTTGACCAGAGTGAGGGAAGTGACTACTCAGAACCACTCAGGAAGGACGGACAGAGACAGACCTTCAATAAAATATATCTTTAAAAACAGATGGCTCAAGGTCAGGTGAGGTGGTGCACGCCTTTAAGCCCAGCGTTCAGGAGGTGGATCCCTGTGAGTTCCAGGCCAGCCTGGGTGACAGGGAGACCCTGTCTCAAAACAAACAAACAAACAAAAAAACAAATGATGGCTCAGTGGTTAAGAGTGTATGCTGCAGGGCTGGAGAGGTAGGAGAGGTCACTCAAAAGAACACTGACTGCCTTTGCAGAGGACCTGGATTCAAATCCCAGCACCCACATGGTGGCCAACGACTGTCCGTAACTCCAGCTCCAGGGAATTCAGTGCAGTCTTCTGACCTCCGCAAGCATTGCATGACATGGGTGCACTTACATACATGCAGGAAAAACACTCATGCACATAAAAATAATAAAAAATTTTTTTAAAAAGGTAAAACGAATAAAGTACCAAAATATGGTACAAAGAGCCCCGAGAACATGCAGAGTGAAGCCAGGTGAGGTGGCACATGCCTGTCGTCCCAGCTCTCAGGGGGCTGAAGCAGGACAGTCACCATGAGTTTGAGGCAAGCCTGGACTGCACAGTGAGACTCCATCTCAAAGCAGACAAAATGAGCCATTTTAAGTTCAGCATGACAAGAAGCCAGATGTAGAGCTGATGGGTGCTGGGTGCTGGGGAGCCATATTCCTGTGGTGTGTGGCCACTGGTTGGTTGCCCGTGCTCTGGTGGATGGCCCACTCTGATGTACATGCAGCAGCACTAATTGGACCCAGTGGGTTCTATAAAAGAGGAAGAGGACATGACGTTGGGTATGGACGTGTTGATGGGTCTAAGGGAGTTGCAAGGGGGAGTGGAGGATGGAGATAATGGATGTGATTTATGTATATATGAATGCAATTGTCAATACATTTGTAAAGGTTCTCAAAAAAGCCCAGATATTGTTCTGTTCCAATTGCATCATGTTCAGAATTGGTAAGTCCAAGTTACAGAAAGGGAACTAGTGCTTTCCCAGGAGTGGGGGCTGAGGATTGGGAGGGGTGGGGAACGTGCATTAAGGGTACTGGGGTTTAAGAGGGGTGATGAGTGCTGTGGGATTAGATTATGGTGGTGGTCACAGGACCTTGTGAAGGTGCCAAAGCCCAGAATTGTGAATTTTAATGTGATAAACTTATGGCATATGATAACTTTATGGTATATTAATGATCTTAGTGAAAACCAATGACAAAAGGAGTTACCACAGAACCACAGCTAAAAAATATAAGGAAAAATATGATACATAACTAGGATATATAAATGTAGTTGAGTGAACATGAACGTTTATTTCACATCATATGTAAAAGTCAACCCAAGATGGGTGAGTATCAGACCTTGGTGCAAAGGACTGAAGGAGAACAGGAAGGCCCTTGGTGTTGCTCCGGGCAGGAGTTGTTGGTTTTGACAGCAGAAGTACAGGCAGCAGATGTGAAACTAGACCTATGGGACTGTTCCAAACTCAAAAGCTTCTGCCCTGTAAAGGAGACAGTCACAGTGTAAAATGGCAAAGATCCACAGATTAGTTATCTGATAAAGGGCTAATGTCCAGGGTATATAAGAACTCACACAACTCAGCA